CACACACACACACACAAACGTATGTGTACTCTTTATTTTTATTTCAATCGTGCATAAGTATGAGCATACACTTATTTGACACTTCATATACAGTAGCCAGTGTAGAAAGAAAAAAATGGAAAGAAATTGCGAGATTTACGATCAGCATTCACTTTCACTTACATCAATTTCTTTTATTTTGCTTCCTCCGTCTTTCATTTTGATCACTTTTACCCTCTCTTCCAGCGTCAGAGCTCTTCTTGTGTTAGCTGCTTGACATCCAAAAGTCCGTTTTGTAGCCATTTTAGCAATGCAACGTTCTTGCTGCATCTGAAACTAACAATAACAAATACTTCCTGGACTACTGCGCATGTGGAAACCAGTGTGGTGGTTGCTGTTGCCGTTTCCGAACGAAGCAGTAGAGGTCGCTGTTGGATTAGACTTCGTTGTAGTGAATCTCGTAGCGAGGCAAGAGCAGAGAAAAAGGTTTCGTATAACTCAACAGGGGTTTTATCCGTTGTATGGGGGGCAGGAAAGTGGGAATGGTGTGAATGCATGAAGATTTTTTCACACTATGGGGTATTTTCACCCATGTAGGTTTCGTTGTAGAGGTGTTTCAGTGTACTACCAGAAATTCCATCCAGGATGGAGGAAATTGACAGAGGAGCAAGGCGGGGGTAGGTAGAAAAAATTAGGGGTTAATGGGGCAATTGCTCCTCGATGCTATCATTTGATGGAGATGTATGCTAAAGATGTCACGTCATTCAAGAATTATTACGATCACAGCCAATGGTCACTTTATGCTTTATGTTTCAATGAGGGTTAAAGTCAAATGTCAATACTGTTACGCTTTACAAGTTTTCGGATGAAAGACGAGCAGAGCTCGTCCCCGATTGCAGATATTGTGAAATGGACAAATCACACAGACACAAACCATATTGTACAAAAAAATTGAAATATTGATTCATATGTTTTGTTTTTCTTGAAAGCATACTAACAAGCTAATCCCAGTTGTTTTTGTCATCTGTTTTCCTAATGTCTGCTTCCTCTTGCAGTGTATGGAGGAGAAAAAAAGTTAGTGCCATAAAAGCGAACTCTATTGAAAAGTTAATTTTCCAAAAATGGAGTCCTGCCGTCATAGATCTGCAGAAAGCAGGCCACTTGTCAGACGCTTTGTTGGTTACGGTGGTTACGGTGACTCACAGGGACCTGCAAGTTGCATCAAGAGGCCTCGCTTTAGACGTGGCATGGTTACACTACAAAGCTGAAACAAGTTTGCTTTGTGGGTGGGATGCTTTCACGCTACCTCGCCTCATCGACTGGGCCCTTTAGACTGTGGCGCATTTGCACAATGTGGGACGACAGCGTTGTTGTGACGTACCGAAACAGGAAACACGAATGCTCAGGCCGGTGTTTGACTTGAGCCCGATGGCGTCTGAATGCTTTCAGGGGCCAGCCGAGTCTGCCCGTCGTTATCTGTGAGAGTTCAGGGGTTGTGCCCCCTCTTCCCCCCGGCCCCCCTGCCTCTGCCCAACCTCCCGAAGAGGAAGTTGTCCCGATTGAGCTTTGTCTGCAACGGGTTGTTTGAGCGTGAAGACAATGCTGTCTGCCGCAAGGACGGCTGGATAGACAACACATGCTTGCACGCCAATGTTGGACAGGTCTTGCACGGGGCATGTTTGATTTTTTTTGGGGGAAATTTGACAACACTTGCAAGCATTTCTCACCAAAATAAAACCTATAATGTTTGACTTATTTCAAGCATTCGTTCCAGTGAATGGGATTCGAATCTGGAGCTTTCATTTTCCTGCAGGTTTTTTTTAACTTCTTAAATCAGTGAATTGACACTGAACATTGACCTTCGTTTTTACCATCTGCAGTTATTAGACAATGAGATGCTACTGCTGCTCTTCTTTTATTCTTCCATGTTCCCAAGTAGCATATGATGCTCTATCTTGAATAAGGAAGTACGTTCCTATGTCCATTCCAGACATGGCACCCATTCGATCTTTTGACACCAGCATCTTTCATTGACCAAAGCAGGCTGAAGCTTAACAAACAAATAAATGAGATGGGCTCTTTACAAATCTTTAACGCGTTGTAAGGGCTGTTTTTCAGTGTATTCTGTTGAAATGGAAAACTCTTGAGTACCAAGAGCCCAAAGCCCCAAATTGCTTGACAGCGGCAAAACATAAACTCTCTCTCTCTCTCTCTCTCTCTCTCTCTCTCTCTCTCTCTCTCTCTCTC